GGGTGCAGAAACACCTCGAGCCAGCCCTGGGCATAGGGTTGCCACCTCCAGGCTGGGAGAGTCCTGGAGATTGGGGTGTGGAGCCTGGGGAGGGCAGGGGCCACAGTGGGGTACGGCGCCATAGAGTCCCCCCTCCAAAGCATCCGTTTTCTCCAGGGGAGCTGATCTCCGTAGTCTGGAGATGAGCTGGAATTCTGGGGGATCCCCAGGCCTAGCTGGAAGGAGCCTCACTTGCAGGGGGGCTGAGCCCTACACTAGGCCAGACACTGCTGTGGGCTCCCTGCCCCCCCGGCCCCAGCTGCGGGAATTGAGTGGAGCCCCAGGAGAGCGCAAGAGGCACCCGCTCAGAGATACTCCCAGTCCAGCGACTTCTCCCAGAAGAAGCTACTTGGACCTGGCGCTCCGGCCTGGCTGAGAGGGAGGCCAACAGGCTCGGGCGTGCTGGGAGCAGGGCTCAGGGCCCAGGCCAGCCTACTCGGGACAGGAGCACTCCCCCCCACCCCTGGACCGCCAGCAATGACAAGGAACAAAGATGGGGGCGGAAGCTCAGTGCCTCCCCTCCCCTCCCCAAACACACACACACTGCTGAGTGACCACGGTGGGGTTCCCAGGTCCCCGAAGTGAGCCGTGACTCTGTCCGAAGAAGCCGTGACTCACGAAAGCGCCTCCCCTGCCGCAAATTTTGTCAGTCTCGAAGGTGCTCCTGGACCCTTGCTCTTTTCTATTGCTACAGACACAGCTTCCGACCTTGAGCTAGACTGATCTCCGTAGTCTGGAGATGAGCTGGAATTCTGGGGGATCCCCAGGCCTAGCTGGAAGGAGCCTCACTTGCAGGGGGGCTGAGCCCTACACTAGGCCAGACACTGCTGTGGGCTCCCTGCCCCCCGGCCCCAGCTGCGGGAATTGAGTGGAGCCCCAGGAGAGCGCAAGAGGTAACCACTCAGAGATCCTCCCAGTCCAGCGACTTCTCCCAGAAGAAGCTACTTGGACCTGGCGCTCCGGCCTGGCTGAGAGGGAGGCCAACAGCCTCGGGCCTGCTGGGAGCAGGGCTCAGGTCTCAGGGCAGCCTACTCGGGACAGGAGCACTCCTCCTCACCCCTGGACCGCCAGCAATGACAGGAACAAAGACGGGGGGGCAGACGCTCAGTGCCTCCCCTCCCCAAACACACACACACACACAGCTGAGTGACCACGGTAGGGTTCCCAGGTCCCCGAAGTGAGCCGTGACTCTGTCCGAAGAAGCCGTGACTCACGAAAGCGCCTCCCCTGCCGCAAATTTTGTCAGTCTCAAAGGTGGATTCCGGAGATCAAGGGTCCCTGCTGAGAAGGGCCAGTGCGCAGGGCTCTTTCAGGGGCTCCCGGGTGCCCACTTCCCCTGGAGGCAGGGCAGGGGCGCACAGCAGGCATAGCGCCTAGGGCCCGCAGGACTTTTCGGGGGCGGCGCGGATGCTTTAAATTCCTTTTAAAATCAGAAGAAGAACAATAAACCTTTAGGGCAATTTTTCCCCCCTCACATCAAGGGGGGGAAAATGAAATTTTAGGGCCCAGGAGAATCTATTAAATTTTGCCTAAAACAGGAAGAAAAAAAAGTTGAAGTACTTAAAGATATATCAAAAATATTTTTTATATCGATCTTATGATGGCGGGAGGGGCTTACGAAGGCCAAAGTGGGCCTTCAGCCCCCAAACCTGTTCCTCAGAGAGGCTGTTCTTCTGAGCGGGACCCGTGGCTGGGAAGGGAGGCAAAGAGCCGGCGCAGGACTCGCGCCACCTCTGGAAAGCCCTTATGTAACCGTCCCAGAGGAGATTGAAACCGGTTGCCCTCAATTCTCTGACATAAGCAGAGGGATTATCGGCACAGGCTCCCGCCCGGCTGCAGCCTCTCTGGTCCCCCCCTTTGGTGTCCGCGGGGAGGTCGAGGCCCCACCCGCTCCCTTCACTCCTTAGCCCCGCTGTGCCTCCCTGGCACTGGCTACAAGGCAAGGGCATCGTGGGAGGTTGCCCGTGACCACACACAGCCAGGCATTCCTTTGGAGGAGGAGGGATGCAGCAGGTCGGACAGCACCGGTGCAGAATGCCTCTGCTTTACCTACTGCCGTGCAAGGGGAGTGCAATTGTGTCTCACACACACACACACACGCACACCCCACAGCAGACCTCTGATTTCCCCCAAGCGACTCCTTCAGAGCAGTACTGGGGAAGGGGGAGGATTTCAGACTGCAGTGGATGGGGGGTGGCGAGGCAGGGAATTCACTTTTCCCTGGATGGAAATCCTTCTGTCTGTGCGGCCAGAATCCAGCTTCAGACCCACCCCCCACGCATCAGGATGTGCAGGCAGGCTCAGCACGGCTGCCCTGGAGAACAGCCAGTGGACGGACGGCCTCCGAACACAGGCCCGAGGGCGCCCTCTTTCCCCCCAGGCAGGGCTCAGCCTCCAAACCTCGGCCTCCTGGAGGCAGGGCCCTTAAAATGAAGGGCTCCTCCTCCTAAAGGGCGGGTTGTGGGCCACCTCTGCCCCGCATAGGGCAGCCAGTCTTTGTGCTGGGCCTGGGTGGCACCCACCAGTTCTCCTGTAGTGAGGCAGGAAGACACGGACGGGAGGGAAAGTCCCTCCAGGGCTTAAGCCCAGAACCTGCATTGGCCAGGACCAATGTTCTCTCTAAGCTGTGGAGTCTTGTGAGCAAAAACTCTACTTTGTGAGCTGCTGCCATTAAAGTTGTGAGCGAGAGATTTGGCTGCTGCATAAACTAGTTTGTTCTGGAGCCATCCTCCCTGAGCAAAGACAAAAATGTGTGAGCTGGAGGCTAAAAAACTGTGAACTAGCTCACACTAACTCAGCTTAGAGGGAACACTGGCCAGGACTGCTTGGTCCTTCTGCTTTTAAATGAAAACTTGGGGGAAAGCACTCTTACACCCAGGTAGGTAAGGTAAAGGTCTCCCTTGCTCGAAAGCGTCAAATCCGACTCTAGGGTTGCGGTGCTCATCTCCGTTTCCAAGCCAAAGAGCCAGCGCTGTCCGAAGAAGTTTCCGTGGTCATGTGGCTGGCATAACTAAACACCAAGGCGCATGGAACGCTGTTACCTTGCCACCAAATTGGTATCTATTTATCTACTTGCAATTTCTTGCTTTCGAACTGCTAGGTTGGCAGGAGCTGGAACTACAGACGGGAGCTCACTCCGTCATGCGGCACACTCGAGTCTCGAACTGCTGAAGTACTGACCTTCCACAGCTTAACCACTTGAGCCACCGCAGCTTAGCCCAGGACTAAAAGTCTTCCTACCTTTCTGGTTTTGCTTTGAAGTGGAGGGGGCACTCCAAGTTCCGTTGAGGTTGTGGGGCTGGGCTGTTTGCACTGCAGGGGGTGGGGATGCAACAGAGGTGCCCGCATTTCCCCCTTTGCAGGGCAAACAGAAGTGTGGGGGGGAGCAATGATGAAATCAGTGGGGGGGTGGTTAACCCAACCCCCCCACACACACACTGCTGCAGGGGAACCTATTGTCTCCAACTGCAGTTTAAGGTTTTTCATCTGAGATTTTAAGAGACCCACAGATGGTTCTTTCACAGAACAGGTCGGTGGATCCTAAGAGGCCTGCTGGGGCTTCCAGAACCCCTGACCCCCCCCCCCACCTCATTGGAGAGATTAAATGCTGCTGATGAGCATTTCGACACACCTCAGACGCTCCTGGTCCAGGCTCTGGAACATTTGCCATTTCAGGAATGCAGAGACAGAGATGCCAAAATAGAGATGTTGGAAGTCTAAAACTGAAGGAAGAACTAAAAGCTTCCGAGGCCTGCAAGGGGAGGCCAATCATGCCCTTGAATTCCTCCCAGCAGCATCCCCACAAACACGGTCTTGCTAAGGGAGTGCCGCCTAGTCTGCCGTGGAAGGTGGCTGACCTTTCAGGGCAAAGAAAGTTGCTTTGGGTCGCTCTGTGTGTCAAATAAGCCCCCCTGCAGGGAGAAACACAAAGGGCAGCCGGAGTGTTTGCCCAAGCCCCGCCCGTCTGTCCCCTCCGGGCCGTGAGCCAGGCAGGGCCAGTTTGTGCCGGACCGTCCAAGTGGGCTGCTGGAAGTTCGAAATGCTGGTGGCTCAGCTCAGCCTTCGCTCCCCCCCACCCAACCACCAGAGCAGCAGCCAAGGAAACCCCACATCCCCCAGAGGCCCCTCCTACGGTCACAGCCAGGCCCTCCCCCAGCATCGGGAATCCAAAGCGGACCCCCCCCACCAGCCTAGAACAGTGGTGGCGAACCTACGGCACGGGTGCCAGAGGCGGCACTCAGAGCCCTCTCTGTGGGCACGTGTGCCATTGCCCCAGCCAGGCCCAGACCACCCTTAAAGTGTCGAATTCTCTGCCAAATAATCTTTAAAAAATGAAAGCATTTGGGATTGCTTTCCTTACTTTGTTTGGATCATCTTAAGTGAATGTGTGAATTGTTTTTTCTAAAGTAAAACCTCAGGATTCAGGTTAAATTGCCGTGCTGGCACTTTGCGATCAATAAGTGGGTTTTGGGTCGCAGTTTGGGCACTCGGTCTCTAAAAGGTTCGCCATCACTGGCCTAGAAGGAGACCCTGCCTGCCTGGGACGGCATCCAAGGAGGGCCTCGCCTTCTGGTAACCGCAGCCCGCCCGCCCTCGCACCCACAGCTCTCGTTGGCAGAGCTGCGGTGGGAAGGGCACGCGAGGCAAAGGAGGCCAACTCTGAAACCGCCCGGAGGGAGCCACAGCCTCTTCGGAAGGGTGAGCCCGGCCTGCCCGGCCCGGGGAGGGAAGGAAGCTTCCTTCCCAACTGCCACGCAAGCAACTTCATCTTCGAAACTCAGCCCTGCTTCTTCAGCTCTTCTTTATCTCCGGCTCACACACCCAGGCAAGCCGGAATCCCCCACCCACCGCCACCGCGCCTCGGCATGCAGAAAGCGACAAAGCCCCGTGGCTCTGTTTTCCAAACTGCCTCTTTAATAATTTAGATTTTGCTTCTTTACAAACACACACACACACACACCCCAGGAGCCCACAAAGGGCCCATAAAAGCATTTTTAAAAAAGAGAGACAAACCAGAGACGAGTGAGGCCAAAGGGGCCGAACAGACTCCCCGGCTGCAGCTGCCTGTCCTTTGGATGCCCCCTCCCCCCTCAAAGGGCCAGGGAGACGGCCCCCATCACCCTGGCCACCTTCTTTTGGGCCCAGGCCAAGTCCTGGGTCCACAAGTCCAAGCATCCCAGCCCACCCAAAGGGAAACCGGAGCGTCCCTGTTCCCAGTTCTTGGGGTGGCAGCGACACGCCATGTCCCAGCAGTGCAAAAGGTCCCCCCCGGTCAGTCCACGGGGCAGGAGGGCACCTCTGGCCTTCTGCCCTGTCCTCTCAGCACCTCTTCCTGCTGCCGCCCCTGCCACGGAGGAGTTTTCTGTGCCGGAGGATCATCTCGTAGAGCTTCTCCAGACCCGGCTGGAGTCCGAGGCCGCTGACGGCGCTGCAGCCCTGGACGTGGCTCAGGGCGGAGGCGCCCAGTTCGTGCAGGCCGAGGAGCTTCTCCACCTCGGAGGCCGAGAGCGCCTGAGCCGCGTCCTGCTTGTTGGCCAGCACCAGCACGGGGACCCCTTGGTTGTCCGAGGCGCGGGCGATGCGGTGCAGCTCCACCCGGGCCTCTTCCAGGCGCTCGGCCTCTGCGGAGTCGACCACAAAAACCAGCCCGTCCGTGCAGCGCGTGTAGGACTTCCACAGTGGGCGCAGCTTCTCCTGGCCGCCCACGTCCCACACTTGGAAGGTGATGGCCCGCGAGCCCCCCAGCGGCACCCGGATCTTCTCCATGTTGAAGCCTTTGGTGGGCACGCTCTGGACGAACTCCTGGAGCTTCAGGCGGTAGAGCAGGGAGGTCTTCCCAGCGGCATCCAGCCCCACCACCACCACGTGCAGGGCCTGCAGAGGGGGCAAGGGCGCCAGCTGGTTCCCCATCGTCCACCAGAGGGGCGGGGGTCGGCGACCAGGTTGCGACTGCTCACAGCCCCTGCAGAACTGGGGAGACCAGACAACACACAAGCACCCCATTAACACAAGCACCCCACGCAGAGCCCGTCTCTTGGTCAGGTCTGGCTGTTTTGAAGGCAGGGACAAAAACAGGCAGCCAAAAGGAAATATGTGTCGCACCTTCTTGACCACCCGTAAAACACACAGAGTCTGTCCCTGTTGCTGGGGGTGGGTGGGTGGAAGCACGCCAAGGCACACACACACACACACACCAGTGTTCCCTCTAAGCTGAGCCACTGTGAGCTAGCTCACAGCTTTTTAGCCTCTGGCTCACACATTTCTGTCTTCGCTCAGGAAGGATGGGGCTCCAGAGCAAACTGATTTATGCAGCAGCCAAATCACTCGCTCACAGCTTTAGTGCCAGGAGCTCACCGAGTAGAATTTTTGCTCACAAGACTCCGCAGGTAGGGAGGAGCATTGACACACACACACCCTGCCATGGCAGTGGGTGGCAAATGGGCAAGGCATCTGCACATCTCCACCGGCCGCCGGGCACTTTCCCCTTTAAACTAAGCTCCGTGTTCCCTCTAAGCTGTCGAGTCGTGTGAGCAGGAATTCTGCTTTGTGAGCTACCGGCATTAAAGTGGTGAGCGAGCCATTTGGCTCCTGCATAAATGAGTTTGCTCGGGAGCCCCATCCTTTCGTGAGCGAAGACAAGACTGTGTGAGCCGGAGGCTACAAAAACGGCGAGCCAGCTCACACTCACTCAGCTTAGAGGGAACCCTGGTGCCTGTTTTGCAGATGAAACGGGGGAAGCCCCAGGAAGGCCATGCAGTCCGACGGGAGACCCCCCTGCCGCAGCCCAAACGATGTCCAAGTCAGACTTTCCCAAGGCGGGGCCGCCCCCGCCCGGCTCTTCCTTCCCGGCCAGGCCACCCCGCGGGGTGGGGAGGGTGGGAAGCCCCGCTCGGCCAGGGGGCCCGGCCAGCGCCCTGACGCTCCGCCGGGGAAGTGTTCCCTCTGAGCCGAGTGAGTGTGAGCCAGCTCACAGTTTTTTAGCCTCCGGCTTACGCATTTTTGCCTTAGCTCAGGAAGGAGGGTTCCAGAGCAAACTAATTTTTGTAGTAGCCAAATCACTCGCTCACAACTTTAATGCCAGCAGATCACAAAGTAGCATTTTTGCTCACAAGACTCTTACAGTTTAGAGGGAGCATTGTTGGTTGGTACCAATTAAAAATGGCCCAGCTGTTTTAAGTTATCTTTTTCAGAAGACCTAAAGCACAGTCCTGTGAGCAGGACTGTGTACATTCTTTGCTGGAAAGAAAATAATAATTTTACAACATATCAGCTGAAGAAAACCTGAATTTAGTGCCCTCATTAAATAACATGAATTCAGCAAAGGGCATGTTATAGAAGAGAAAAATAAGCCAACAGCAGGCCCACAGGGCCATTTCAGGACAAGAATATGGCGCAGGGCAAAAGGTTTAAAGGCCTTCCCCCTGATATCAGTACAATTGAGGGTCCCATGTTCCTGGTACGTAAAAATATCCAAATGCTTCAGGGTTCAGTACACAGAACTCCCAGTGTCTCATTTGTGTTGGCCCTGTTCACTAAACAAAACTTTTTGAAAATGTTCTGTTGGCTGCCTGGACCATTAAGGGAAATTATGGCTTTTTAAAAATTAGATACTGTGTAATAGAACCCTGTGATTCTCCACTGCAGTCAGAGTACAGACAGAGAGGACTGGTTTTCTAGGGCATATATTTAGCTACCTCCCTTCACAGCTTTGTTCTTGTGGGTGAATACAGCAAAGACTATGTTCTTTTTAAAACATTTACAAAACTCAAGTACTACTTCAAAGTGTTTTTCAAGACTGAAAGTATTACCCAAGTGATTTATGGCTATTCCAAAATTATACTATTTCAACAGTACCCTCAGGGTGCTTCACAGCATTTCCAAAGTCAACCAGCCAGCCTCCCCCCCCCCCCCCAC